GGAGAACTCACTCACCTCGMTTTTCTTATTTCTCTACAAAAATAGGAAGGAAAACTGGGGGACATCAGATTCACAAAGTCTCCTGAATGGGTCTCAGTCTAGGCGATTCCTTTTGTGAGTGTGGGCTCCAGGGGATGAACCCAGGCTCACTTCCTTCTGAGCTACACCCCTAGCCCGTTTTTAAGACACAGTCCCTCCAAGTCCTTAGGCCCTTTCTAAATTGCTGAGGCTGGTCTTGAACTTGGGATCCTCCTGCCCCGGTCTCCTGAGTGGCCGGGTGTACAGGTGTGTGTCACATGCCCGGCTGCAGTTTTTTTTTTTTTTTAAATAAAGCCCTGTCCTTCTTTCTTAACTTGACTCTTGGAGGACAAACAGGATTTTAAGTGAAGCTTCAAATTTTGAAATCAGAAGAGAACAATGCCCCACAGGAGGGAGTAAGACGCACATGTTCTTCCCTGTGTCTCTCTTCCTGCCTTGTTGCCCACTGAAGTTGAGTGGGCGCGCCCCTGCCGTGGCCCCTGGGGCGTGCACAACAGGAGGAGCTTGCAGCGGACCCTGTATAGGAGCCTCTTTGGAGCCCAAGCAGCAGCTGGTCTTCTGTTTCCATAGGAAAAGGAGTGATGGTAGGGTCTTGTGGGGGGACTGGGACTGGGAAGAGGAGACACGGCCTTGAGGATCCTCAGCCAGGAGCCACAGGGGGCTTTGGTGAGTTTCCCCTGCACCTCCTCCTGGGTTCCGAGTGGAGGGGCAAGCAAGAAGGCAGGACGCCATTCCCTGACTGGTCACCCCTGCTCCATTCTCAGGGCTGCTCCAACTTCCGGCACAAGAGCATCAATCATGTCAAGGCAGCACACTGGAGCTGGCCCTGAAAACCCCCCACAGCAACGTGGGCACCTGGCTCTGCGGTTTGCCTCCTTCTGCCCTCCAGCACTCCTCCTACTGTCTTGTGTTGAACTTCATGAACAACGATTGGGAAACAGGTAAGAGAGCTTGAGTCCACAACAGCTGAGTACCGTCCAGAGCCAAGTCTTGCTCAAGAACACTCTGGTAATAGTCCGCCCACCTATAATCACACTGTATTCCTCAGCCATTAACTTTCAAGCGTGTTCCGTGAGCCAGGCATTGTGCTGAACAGACAGACGCCCTGGTTCCTGCACAGGRCAGCCATTGTCCTGGAGAGGGCAGCCCAACACCAAGTCAGCAGGCAGGAGAGTGAGGTGCAACAGAGGAGGACTGGGGAACAAAGGGAGGGCCTGCTAGGAACGCAGACATCCCACAGGCACCAGGGGGCGCTGTCAGGCCGGCAGATAGGAGAGCAATGAAGGCCAGCAGGGCAGGAGTCCTGTGGGAAAACAGGGCTTGAGATGCAGCGGGACCTGGAATCAGGGAGCTGCTGACAGATGCATGAGGTAAAAAGGAAGCAGAAGGGACCAAGGGCATTGCTGAGGGTTCTGGCTAAACAAGGAAGCTGCAGGGCTTTTTACTGAGATTTTGGGTCAATAGGGGATGGGGAAAGGAAATATTTGAGGTGGAAACTCAGGAGGCTGTGATTATCCAGAGGTGATGGCAGGTGCACCATTGGAAATGCAAGTCTGGAGCTTAGAGCTGTCTGGACTCGACATTTTTGTCCAGATTTTGTCCCATAAATGCAAATGTTTCTGATTATTTTTCCTGATTAGCATTGACAAAACCCCTTGGCTAATCAATAGCAGCATTCCCCTGCCCAAGACTGTGTCAGTCTGCACTGGGAGACAACCTCCCTCCCACCTGCCATCAGGCAGCAGCTGCAGTTGCTACTTGCTTAAGATCCAAAGTCCTAGGGTCCTCTGCTGTGATGCATGCAAATTTTGTAGGTCACATTGGTAAGTCAAAGAGGGTGTTGATGGGGGACAGCCATATGCCAGTGATGGGAACATAAGGTAAGGGAATAATTCTATAAAATGGGCCCACTGTGCTGACCCCCACATGCTTTCTTTTCCAAGGAGCAATTTACCTGCAGCTCTGCCTGGCTTAAGAGGACAGGGCATGTCAACAAACTACCTCTTATCTGCAGGAGAAATTCAGGCCTGAAATAATTCCAATAAGAGGAACACAAGTTACCCAGAAGGGTGGGCTTCTGTGGACCTTACACAGATCAGATCTCAGAACTCAGGGAAATAAGGATAATTCCCCCCGACCATAAAATCTGTAAGAACAGGTTCCAGTTGGAACCAGTTAGCATAGGCCCAAGTGACCTAGAATGGTCACGGCAGTGGGGACTTGAAAGTCTGATATCATCCTGCTGTTAAGAGTCAAGGGGTGGAACTGGATGGGACTCTCTGGAAACTTCCCTGGGACCCTACAATAAAACTGAAGTGTGGGAGGGGTGTGCTGTCCCTCTCCTCTCTGAGGGGACCCACTCCCTCCCTGAGAGTACCTTTTCCCCTTTCCCGTCCCTCTAATAAACTCATGCCTGCTTCTCTGAGTGACACGTCCGAGGTCTTTCTGACTTGATCACAGGAATTGGGGTTTGAAGTGGGGCTTTTCATGCTGCCTCAGTTTCCCAGAAGTTCCCTGGCCTGTAACAGTAGGACAGGGACCACCTGTCCCGCAGGCGTCAGGACTCAGTGTGGCCCTGGCCTCGGCGGCCTCCCCTGGGATGTGATGTTGCTTCTTGCTCCCTGGGCAGGAGGTGGAAGTTCTAATTCCTGCTGCTCTTTCCTATGCCTATGACTGTCACTCTACAGATCAAGGAATCATGGCCAAATCCCACCCATAGGAGTTCAATAGTTTGAGGTCTTCTATTTAGGTCGCTAGTCCATTTTGAGTTCATGTTTGTATGTGCTGTAAGGTGGAGTCCAACCCCATTCTCTGGCATGGAGGTAGCCAGTTTCCCAGCGCTGTGTTTAAGACTGTCCCCAGGCCAACGTTTAGCATSGGCAGCCCTGTTGAAGATCATGGGCCACACGTGCAAGTCAAGCATTACTGCTGGGCCCTCTGTTGTGTTTCGTGGGTCTGTCCTTATGTCTCACCTCCCTGCCTTTGTTACTGTTGTTTCATAGCATGTTCTGAAATCAGGGAGAGTGAGTCTCCAACTTTGTTCTCTTTCAAGATCATTTTGGCTTGTAATTCCATACAAATTTTAATATGAATGTTCCCATTTCTGCCAAAAAATGTAATTGGGATTTGATAGAGATTGGATTGAATCTGTAGATTGCTGTTAAAGAAGATCTCTATCTTCTTTGACAACTTCTCCCTCCTCCCCCTCCTCCCCCCTCCTCCTCCCCCTCCTCTCCCCTCCTCCTCCCCCTCCTCTTCCCCCCCTCCCCCCCCCCCCCCCCCCCCCCCCCCCCCCCCCCCCCCCCCCCCCCCCCTCTCCCTGTTTGGTCATTTCAGTATACAAGTCTTTCACTTCCCTGGTTAAGTTTATTCCTAGGTATTTTATCCTTTTTTGGTGCTGTTGTAAAAGTTATTTTCTTAATGTCATTTTTCGAATTGGTCACCGTTACTGTAGAGGAACACAACTGACTTTGGGGTGTTGATTTTGTATTCCAAAACTTGGCTGAATTCATTTGTTCTAAGTGTTCTGGCGGAATCCTCGGGGTTTTCTAAGTACAAGAGCATACCGTCTGGGAACAAAGAGAGTTTTCTTCTCCTTTTCCAATTCCCTTTTCTTTTCTTCCTCTTTCTCTCCTTCTGGTGTTGCAGAACTTCCACTGGTGTGCTGAGGGTTCACTAGTGGTGAGGATGGGCATCCTGCCTGCTCCTGATCTTGGAGGATCAGGCTCAGTTTCCCCATCGAGGACGATGGGAGTTGTTAGCGTCTTGTGCCACTCTTTGTCATGCTGTGGTAGTTTCCTTCTATTCCTAGCATGTTTTTATAAAAGCTGGCCAGATCCTGCAATGCCTTCTCTGCCTCTGTTCAGATGATCATGTGCTTTTTGTCCCTCCTTTTGTCACAATGACTGATTTCTATGTGTTGAACCATCCTTCCATTCCAGACTCACACCCACCTGGTTACAAGGAGCAGGCTTTCACTGTGCTCTCAAATTTGTTCTGCTAGTTGTTTTGTTTAGGATCTTTGGGTCAGTCCTTATAGGAATATTGGTCTTCAATTTTCTTTTCTCATTGTGTCCTCCTCTGCTTTTGTGTACCTTTGTCAGGGTAAATCTGGCCTGGTAGGATGGGTGTGGGAGGGGCCTCTTCTCTTTAGTTCTGTGGGAGTGTTTGAGAAGAGCTRTGTTCCTGCTTCTTTCAACGCTTGTAGAATTCTCTGGTGCACTCGTTTGGTCCTGAACTTTCCATTGCTGGCAGGTTTTGATTACAGCATTCATCTCCTCACTAGTTACAAGTGAGCTCAGATTTTCTATTTTTTCATGATTCAGTCTTGGTAGATTGTCTGTTTCTATGAATTTATCCATTTCTTCTAGGTTATTCAATTTTCTGCTCTTTTTTTTAAAATTCAAAGTTATACACTAGTAGAGTATATCTGAGCATGTCATGCCAAATAAAATTATTAGCATGATTTCAAAAGGATCGTCCAGCAGAATACAGCATGAGCTACTTTGCAGTTGTGGGATGCAACTCAAAACCCACAAGCCACTGTCTGCACTTTATTTTAAAATGAAGTTCAATTTTCATGATCAAATGTTTCCACAATTAGAACAGAAAAACACAAGAGATTTAGAAATAAATTGAAAATGTAAAAGGAAGCAAAACCGAACACATTTCTGGAAAATACCACGAACAGTTTTTGGTATTCGGCTCATAATCATTTGTTTATTTACCRAGTACCTTGGCTACCCCTGCAGGGGACATGGACACTGCTATTCCAAACTGCAGGGCCTGTTCAGGCGGCCACCTCCCTGCAGTTTCTTACAAAGGGCGGGTTCTGTTCTTGGCAAGAAGTCAACCAGACTTCTGCGACCTCCAGGCCTCTGGGCTGCCCGGCCCCTTCCGTTCTGCTCCGCAGCCAGGCCTCATTTCCTTTCCCTCCTTCTCTTGTTTGGCCTCTGTGGGGACAAGCAGGAGCAAGCAAGTCCCCAAGTCTTTTCAGTTCTAGTGAAAAGTCCCAGCAGGTGTTCACCAAACCAGTGCCAGGGGCCGGGTGAGTTGCCTTGGCATAGGAGAGTGGACCAGGGCCAGCACCCCAGCTGGACAGACTCCCGGCGGAGCTTCCCTCGCCAGCACACGGAGAAAAGGGTCTGGCTGGAGAATCCGCGTCCCCTGTGCCACCTCTTGAAGGTGACGCCCCGTGAGTATTGCTTGAAGGGTGGCTTCATCTCCCTCCGACTCCAATCACAAAGACAGGACATCTTGCAGTCAGTCTTGCTGCTGGAAGGAAGATGTCGAACTGAGATTTGTCTGTGGCTTGGCCGACAGCCAGCGGACACCATAGGTCACCCAAGAAGCCTGTCACTTAGAATGCTTTCAGGAGGCTCCTGACCAAGTGGACCCCAGGGGTCCGGATAGGAGGGCTCACCTTCTTCTCTCCAGAGTCTAATCACTCCATCTCTATATGGTCCTAACACCAACAGGAGCTGAGAGCTGGCTGGTCTAGGAGAGTTCCAGTCTCCTCTGCTCCTCGGCTCTTAATCAAATTCTCTAAAATTTAGAAGAAATTCTAACTCTATTCTGCTGGTGAGCGCAGTAACTGCAGTTCAGTTTCTCTCATGTTCGAGGGCAGCCTGGGGTGGGAAAAGATGGAGGAGGGGTCTGCCCCACTTCAGTTCCAGTTCCTGGCTGTGTGACCTCAGGCAAGTAATTTGAGCTCTCTGAGTCTTTGTTTGTTCCTGTATTGTAAGAAAGCCAAAGCAGTTGAAGAAACCCTTGCACCGCAGATGATGAAGACCAGCTTTCTCAAGGGAGGAGAGCAGTAACTGGAAAGCAAGCTAGTTCCTCGCAGGGCTCAGGGCTGTTTCCCTTCCAGGGCTCTTGGCTTGGCATCGCTCCAGGCTTAATTCTGAAGATCACTCAAACAGTTACAGTTAAATGCAGATCAATATCAGTTCTCAAAAACAGAAGCCACTGCCACTTACTCAGCTGGCTGAGCTCAGCTCTGAGCCTGCCACAGGCGCTGGGTTGAAAGACCTGGATCCCAGAGGGGCATGGGGCCTCTGCCTGGGGCAGCTCACAGGCTGCTTAGGAAAGTCCTGCCAGTGAGTGGGACCCGGTCAGGTGAGGAGAGCAGGGGAAGGGAGGGCCTTTCTGTGACGTGGCATGACAAAGCAGCAGTGGAGAAGAGGCCAGGGTGTGGAAGCCCAGGGCTGCTCTGTGCCTAGGGCCAGGGTATGGATGGGGCATGGCCAGGACGGGGTGCTGCTGGCACCAMGCTGCCCAGAAGAGGCCTGAGTAAGGGCCGCCCTTCCCTCCCCCTCCCCCTTCCCCTCCTTCTCTTAGTCTTCATCCAAAAGGAAGTGGGAGGCGTTGAAAGCTTTGGAACAGAGCTGTGAAGGCTTTATCAGTCTTTGAGACAGAATTCTCCAGGGATGCTTCTCTACAGAAGCAGAGGGTGGAGACTGGCCATCGGGAGACCCGCAGGCTGATGTCCTGGTGGAGAGGCCAAAGGCCTGGGCCAGGTGGGATGGAGGGCTGGGTTGGTCAGTCCTTCAGCACTGAATYGAATACCTCGATAGTCAAGTTGTAAAGAGAAGAGGTTTAGCTTGGCTCGGTTTTGGAGGTTCAGTCAGTGGTCGGCTGGCCCCGTGGCTGTGGGCCCATGGTGAGTGAGGCAGCGCATCATGGAGGGAATGTGGGGGAGCAGGGCTCCCACCTCATGGACAGGGAGCAGGAAGGACAGGACAAGGAGGGGACCTTTTCCTCATGGTCCCCCTCGAGGGCACACCATTCAACAGCTTAAAGTCTCCCGGGAGACCCCACCCCTTGAAGCTTCCACCAGCTCCCAACAGCAGCTCACTGGGGACCAAGCTGCTAACACAGGGACTTGGGGGACATTGAAGACCCGAACCATAGCAGGGACCATTAGTGACATCTGAGACAGGATGAGCATCCAGGAGAAGGAAGGAGGTGGGAGATGAGGTGTGAGAGAGGGCTTGTCACAGAGAAGGCGATGCCACAGGGCRGACATCAAAACCGTGGTGCTCAGGGGAGGAGCCGGACACGGCAGGTCAYGCACTGCGCGATTCCGTTTTTCCAAAATGTCCAGAAAAGGCAGCTCTAGAACCTACAGAGACAGAACCTGGAGGACTGTTGCCAGGGGCTGGGAGCAGAGAGTGACGGCCRATGGGCACGTGGTTTCTTTGGGGGACGATGGTAACATCCCCCAAATTAGATAGTGGTCATGGTCACATGACTGCTCGGAACAGCATTCAGCAGCAACAAGGGGTCTGTTTGATAGTGTGAAAATCATACTCAACAAGCTTTTTAAAAAAGAGAGCAGTATTGAAAGGCCTCGAGGAATTACGGAGGAGAAGCAGCCTGGTTAATGCTGCCRGCTGAGAACAACGGACCTCTGTCTGCCTCAGCCCTGTGAGAAGCGTTCATTCATCGTCTCTTTTAATCTGGACCCAGTGTGAAAATTAGGTGCATTTTTTTTTCCAGTTTTACAGATGAGAGACCAAGACTCAGGTTTAAGGGAACATGAATAGGGTCAGACTATTCACATGTATGAAAATCCAAAGGTTGAACTCATCGTCAGTGCTGGTCTAATAGATCAGTTAACTCTTCCCCGTGCAGCCATCCCTTGGTACCCACAGGGAACTGGTACCAGGATGCCCCACAGATACCAAACTCCACAGATGCTCGACCCCCCTCTATAGAATGGCATGGTATTTGCATGAGCCGTGCACGCYGTCTTGTGGACTTTAGATCATCTCTGGGTGACCTACAATTCCTAACTTGATGTCAATGCCACACGAGCAGTTGTTACTGTGTTGTTTAGGGAATAATGATAAGAAAAATGTCAGTGTTCAGTACAGAGGTAGTTCTTTTAAGGGTATTTTGGCCAGTGGCTGAACCCACATGCAGAACCTGCAGGCATGGACAGGTGACCTTGTCCCCGGTCGCAGCCGTGGAAGGAGCCCTCCCAGGGACAGCTCTGTGCTGGTTGCTTTTGTTCTCATTTTACAGATGCAGAAGCTGAAGTTCAGAATTGATCAGTGACAGCGCAGGGCCAAGCAGCCAGGGAGGAGGCAGCTGGGACCCCGTGGGCTGGCCCAGGCCGAGCTCTGAGCACTGAGCATTTCCTTCCCCAGGGTCTGGGAGTCCCTGGACTGAGAGAGCCTGGCTCAGGGCCAAGGGCACTGTGGAGGGAGGACTTCAGTTTGCCTTCTGCTGAGTCAGTGGAGGGGGCTGTGCCAGAGCTCACAGGCCAAAGACCAGGAATGTTGGCGACAGGCAGAAAGAGAGGCTCAGCATGGCAGCTCTGGGTGCTGGCAGCCCTTGGACCTCRGACCTCAGAAATCTGCAGGCCACACTGTTTTGCAGGGCATGGAGTCAAAGTGACAGAAACCAGAGAGGGCAGAAGATAGTGCATTGCCCAAGTTCAGTGTTTTCAACAGGCTGACGAGGCTGACGCCAGAGCTGTCATCTAAGTTGGCCTAAAGTCAAAGGTCATCGGCCCCACCAGGGCTTTGTACCCGAGCTTCCCATGCCCAGGCTGAAAGAAAACCTGTTCCTGGAGAGCCAGGGGACTCCAACACACCTCAGGAGCTACTGTGGCACAGGGAGCTCAGCTTAGTTGTCCCTCTGCCTTTTTCTTGCTGGGTGACTTTGGGTTAGTAGTTTCACCTCTCTGGGCCTTGATTCCCCAACCTGTGACCAAGCATTTTCAGGCCAGATTCTGTAGGTATCTGTTGAGTGAGAAAATAAGTAGATGAGTATGGAGCAGGTATTTTGCTAGTCTAGCCAACCATGGAGTCTCCCTTAGGTGTGAAGAAAGGGTTCTCTACAGATAGGGTGTGAGTAACAAATGTTCCAAAGAAGCCAGGATGAACGTTGTGCTCAATGACATCTATGCCATGTTCCTTTTTTCTTTTTTTGCTTTTTTGGTGGGGCTGAGGCTGGAACCCAGGGCCTCGCACATGCCGAGCAAATGCTCCATCTATGAGCTAGAAATACAGCCCCGGCCCCTCAGGGTCTTTTCCCCTCTTCTTCCCTACCAACACTGCCTCTCTTAGGATTGAGAAAACCATGTCAATAAAGAATGAACTTGCCATTTTAAACTCCATGGAGTCCTGGGGTATCTGGGGTCCTGGCAGCTCGGGTGCAGTGTCCTGGGTAGGAGGATGGAGTCATTAGCTCCCCCGCTGTGGCTGTTGGATGAACCTGGGAGGGAGGTGGAGGCAGCATCTGGACAGGCACAGAGTCCAGGAGAAGCTGAGGTGATGGGCAGGAGGTTGCCGTGGAGCAGGTGCTCACAAAGCAGGGCACGCAGCAGCGAGGGCCAGCAGGTGGGCCCCCGGGGCCACACAGACCCCAGCGCCGAGGAATGCCTGCGGCACTGTGCCCAGAAGGATGCTGAGGATGAGGCCACTGTGGGGACCAGGGATCCCATGTGGTCTGGCTCAGTGGAAAGTGGCCTGATGGGTTCAGAACATCTGCTGCAGTGTGGGAGGGGAGTGCAAGGGCAGGAACGATTTGCTCCTTCTTGGCTGACAGAGGCTGGAGAGGTGGGGGACCATGTGCAGCCTGCTGAGAACTGGACTTGATCATGGGAGCCAGACAGGCAGAATGGAGAGAGGAGCCGCCCAAGACTAGACGGGCGGAGCCAGGAGCGGGGAGCCAGGGTTGGTGGACAGGTGGGGTGTCAGGACTGCACATCTACCTGTCGTTGCCAGACAGCCTTCATTCCTTCCTGTAGCACAGTCCAGCGTGACAGAGTCAAGTAAGCTGTCACTAGTCACCAAGTGGAAATTTGATTTCGACAGAGCCCCAGACAAAAGGAGCAAATTAAGTTTGGCACTCAGGGTCACGTGGAGAGGAGGTGCACCCCCACAGCAGGGCTGAGCTTCCGTGAACAGCCCCCCAGCGTCCGGCTCTGGGCCTGGAAAGAGAGGTCAAGTTTTTGCTTTACAAAGAAAGGCACCTGCAGCTCTGCTTGGCTGCATGGCTTGCCATGGTCACCGGCTGTGCTGTCAGAGTTGGAAACCAGCCAAAGTCCATGTGCTGCCCGTGGAGCTGAGCTGCTCCCTCCATATGGAGGAGGGTCTCACCTCCCTCTGCAGCCTGGTGGGCAGGCTGCATAGTCCCAGGTAGTGACAGTGGCCAACAAGGGGCTCCTGCTGGCATGGGCCA